CTAGGCTCCCCCAAACCTCAGCCCGATCACTGTGGCCTAGGCTCCCCCCACCTCAGCCCCGATCTCTCTGGCCTAGGCTCCCCCCACCTCAGCCCTGATCTCTCTGGCCTAGGCTCCCCCCACCTCAGCCCTGATCACTCTGGCCTAGGCTCCCCCCACCTCAGCTGCTCTGCTGCTACCTGGAGATGAGCCCCACGAAAGCTGGGATTATTTCACGTTGTCACCAGCAGGAGGCCTGGGTGAGAGCCCCTGCTAAATAAATACTAACAAACATTTCTGCAACCTTCACTTGTTCCAGTACACATCAAAGGCTAGACGGGGCAGGGATGGCGGTGTCGGGGAAAACGACCCCATTACATACCCATCAGGTGACCCAGAGGGGCTGGGGGAGTGTTCCAGCTACAACCTGTCCACATCAAAGCCAACAAGACCCATCAATCATTGCCCCCAAAAAAGGCAATGAGGGGGTAGGGCTGGATGGCGGTTATCCCACCTGAGGGTAATCGCTCCCTCTGAAAACCCCAGACTGTCACAGCACAAATGAACTGTCCTTAGTGTTCGCTAAGTCAGGGTTAAATAACACGGCAGGACCTCACCAGCCTGTCAAGGGAGAGGACACCTGCCCCTCCCACCCGAGGATCCCGCTGGAGACGCCAGGCCTGGGGAGGGCTTTCCTGGGCGCTGGAGACGCCAGGCCTGGGGAGGGCTTTCCTGGGCGCTGGAGACGCCAGGCCTGGGGAGGGCTTTCCTGGGCGCTGGAGACGCCAGGCCTGGGGAGGGCTTTCCTGGGCGCTGGAGACGCCAGGCCTGGGGAGGGCTTTCCTGGGCGCTGGAGACGCCAGGCCTGGGGAGGGCTTTCCTGGGCGGGCAGGACTAGTATTAAGGTGGGAGCTTAAGCATGACATTCACAGTCCTGCTCTGATACCTCTTGGGGAGGGGGAGGGAATGAGGCAGGGAGCAGGACCCACGGGGGGAGGGGACAGTGACATCCAGGACAACCTCCAAGGTGGCGGTCTCCACTGCTCTGTGATTTGGCTGTCTCGGTACTCTGCCCTGGTGGCTCCAGCGGTTAAGCACTCCGCTGCTAACCAAAAGGTGGGCGGTTGGAATCCACCTAGCCGCTCCTTGGAAACCCTACGGGGCGGTTCTCCTCTGTCCCCCTGAGTCACTGAGAGTCAGGATTGACTCCATGGCAATAGGTTTTTGGTTTGGTATTCTGCCCGAAGACTCAGGCCAGGGACAGGATCTAGGGCCACAGAACTGAGACAAAGCACCAAGGAGCTCAGTCCCAGACAGCTGCCCCACGCCCACCCCCAGTGCCTTAGGACATAAGCTTGAATGATATTAACAATCTGCCTGGGGCAAGTTATTCCAGGAAGCAGCTCCAGAGAGGTCAAAGGCAAAACCAAGGGTCAGGTGGCTGGACTATCCGCTGTGCCATGGGAGCCACAGAGTGTTGTAAGTAAGGAAGGCGACCTGGTTAAACTGGTCAGATAGATCTCCCTGGCTGCCACATAGAGGGTAAGCAGAGGGGGTGTCTGGGGCTGGGAGCCTAGTAGATGACCAGCTGGGGCAGGGCCCACATTGAAGAGAGTCAGGCTGGACCAAGGTGAGGATGTGATGAGGAGAGGAGGCGCCCCCCAGGGCGCTAACTAGCCTCTGCCGTTGCCCTAAGACCATTGACTTCGTTCAACCCATCAGTCCACCCCGGGAAAATAACGGGTGCGAGGAACTGCTCCAGGAACAAAGGACCAATCAGCGGACTGGCCAGCTTTCCAGCTCATCTATCTAGCTCCTCCGGGACCCGGCGTGAACCTGGTATTGGGAGACGATTCCAGACAGACAAGTGGAGGCAGAAACAATCTTCCAAACACTGTTTACTGAAACCTGAAGAGAGACAGCCCGCGGGTATGTGAGCGCCCGAGCACCACGCCTAGGAGTGCACGTTGACAACGGCGACATACAAGGCCAGCGTGCCGAGGGCCAGCAGCCCCGTCACCACTGCACGGGCCAGCAACGCTGTCCAGCTGCCCAGCGCACAGAGGTGGACAAAGGTCCTGTGGGGAAACAGCACAATGAGGGAAGGAGAATAGATAGCCCCCCCGCATCGGAACCCAGCCGCTAGCCCCAGCCAGCTCACTCCATGACAAAGGCCTTGTAGACGCTAAGGAACATCAGCAGGAGGACGGCCGGGCGGAAGGTGTGGTACAGGTCATAGCGCGTTATCATCCAGACCTGGGCAGATGCAATGATATAGTGGACCTGGAGGGAGGCAGGAAGACAGGGCCAGGCCTTAGCCCTATGGCCACCAGCAAAAATATATGTGTGTGTGTGTATGGGTGGGGGCAGGACAGCATACCAGACTGATGTTGGAGTCGATGCTCATCTGGATGTATTTCCAGTCAAACTCAATGCCTCGAGCTCCGACCCAGAGGGGGATGCAGCTGAGAAGGGCAGAGGGCAGGCTTTTTTGGTACCCACACACTCTCGGAACCCACACGCTCTCAGTACCCGCAATCGGAGCCCCTGCCCTCCTGCACCCTCCTGGGACCCAGGTGTTCTTTCTCAGGAGTCTGGGCTCCAGGGTGTGGCACGCACCGGGACATAATGAGCTCAGCGGTGGCCCAGCCCAGGGCAGCAACCATGATCTTGTACTCCCCCTTGCCAGCGTTCCGAGACATAACAAGGTTTAGGCCTATCAGGTCTGCCACGTCCACGCTGGCCTTCATGAACTCCTGTGGGTCCAGGGGTTGGGCTGAGGCTTGAGTAAGCATGGGGTAAGGGGCCCCATTCCTGTACTCCCTCGTTCTCCCATGCCCCACTCACCCCGATGAAGTCATAGATGCCGCCTTCCCAAGTGGGAAAGAAAGTGGCCAGGAACAGCATCTGGGAACAGAAAACGGAGCGGTCACCTCCAGGTGAAGGGGACAAACCACCTGGGTTTTGAGGGACGTTAGTGTGTGGCGGAGGGGCAGGACACTGGGGCTCCGGGAGCAGCTGAGACGAGGCCACCGGATGGTGACAAGATTCTAGGGCTGTGGGAGATAGTGGGCAGGAGCTCTGGTCCCTGAGGGGCTGAACCGTGAGTTCTGTGGTGACCACAGGGGATCCGGTCAGGTCTGCAGGCACCGGTGCTGGCTAAGTGGGCAGTGTGGGCTGCACCGTATGGAGTCTTGGGAGTCATTCAGCCCTCTTAACCGCACAAAACTCTTAACCAGGCAGCTAAGGTTTTCTCAGTTTTACCAAAAGCGCCACACAAAAGCTGCTTCAACAGCCCTCCTTAAGTTCCACTCCTTCCAAAGTCCTTCCTCGCTAGGTACTCGGGAGCCCTCTCCACGCTGAGTCCCGACAGCGGTGCGCCCTGGGGCATGTGCGGCGAGGGGGGGATCCCTGGGTCCGGACAGCGCTCACCTTGCACAGCTGCACAAAGAGGTAGGTGACCCCGGCCTGGACGCATTTCCAGAAGGCGTTGTACTCAGACCTGGAGGAGCAGGCGGTGAGGCGTCCGCCCGGCCCGGCGCCCACTCCGCCCCACGCCCTCTCCGCCCCGCACTCACAGGCCGCTGCACTTATACGTGATGAAGTAGGGAAAGTAGGCAAGGGCGAAACAGTTCCCGAAATGGAACAGGGTCATGATGCCGGCCGCCCGGTCCCGCCGGCGCGGGGGTCGCGAGGCGGCGTCTCCGAGCGCCGGTCCCAGCTGTCGCCGCTCTCACCAGAGCCGGGGCCTGGAGCCCACCCGCCTCTGCCGCGGCCCGCGCGCGGCCTTCTGGGAGCCGTAGTCCTGGCCCGGGGCGTCGCCGCGCCGTGGCGTCAGAGGCAGACAGGGCGGGGCTCGCCCGAACAGGGGTCGCTGCTTCCTCGAGCCCCGCGCTTTTGGGGACCGGCTCACGGCCACGCTGGGCCGTAAACACCAGTGCGGACGTTCTCGTTTCCCTGGAATGGAACCTGCGTGGTTCGGAGTCGAGGCTACGACCCCTTAGCCAAGGATGCAGGTCGATCGAGTTAAGGCGGGGGAAGGAGGGGGTCCTTGAACCCGGGTCTGAACCCGCCAAGGCCGGGCGGAGAGACACAGGACACAGTTGTAAGCCTTCTGCTTTTTTTTTTTTTTTAATTTCATCAGCGGGCAAAGCGGCGCAGGGCCCTCACGTATGGTGCCCTTCTTCCTCGGGGGAGCCGAGTGCGGGCTGGGAGTTAAAGGTTCTAGCCTACGGAGCGAGGCGGGCTGGGGGCGGCCTCGCCCTTCACTTCTCTCGGCTGAACATGTAGCGCAGCAGGTCGACCACCCGGTGACTGTAGCCGTACTCGTTGTCATACCTGGCGAGGGAGGAAGCGGGGGTCAGGGAAAGCTCTCGACTTCCCTGCCCCCCTCCCTAATCTGACTCCTTCCGGGGGCCCTTACCAGGAAATGAGCTTCACGAAGTTGTCGTTGAGAGCTATGCCCGCCTTGGCATCAAAGATGGAGGAATGGGGGTCGGTGGTGAAGTCCGAGGAGACCACCTGGGGGGTCGGAAAGGCAAAGATGAGTGCGGGTAGCAGAGCAAGGACCACCAGGGGCTCGGGCTGGGGGTTCTTAGCCCTGGTTCCTGTTCTTGGCTCTGCCACTTTTGGAGTGTGTGACCTGGGGCAAGTGACTTCACTTCTCTGAGCCTGTCTCATTTGCAGGGTGGGGGTAGTGTGACGAAGACTGTAAAACTCCAGCACAGGCCCTGACCAAAGCAAATAGTCCTGCCTGCAGGGGACAGGCCAGAGGTCACTGACCACAAACGCCCTCATGCTGTACTAATAGCGACACTTCCTAGGACCGCACAGGCAACGTGAAGCAGCCCGCACGGAGGCCCTCCCTGAGGAATGGTGATGAGCCTGCGCCCCGGATGGCTGGGAGGATCCAGCTAATTCAGGCCCTCAGCACGTCGCGTCTGGGCTGGATGGAGCCAGGAGCACAGAGGCTCTGAGGTTTTAGGCCCAGTGTGGTGGGAGGCCAGGAGTCCCTGGTGGTGCAGTGGGGAAAGCTCTCCGCGGCTAACTGAAAGGTCAGCAGTTAGAACCCTCCAGCTGCTCCGCAGGAGAAAGATGTGGCAGTCTGCTTCTGTAAAGATTTACAGCCTTGGAAACCCTGTGGGGCAGTTCTGCTCTGTTCTGTAGGGTCACCACGAGGCAGAATCAACTCGATGGCAGTGGGTTTGGGGTTTGGTGGGGTAGGCCAGGAGTCCCTGGGTGGTGCAAACGGTTAAGTGCTTGACTGCTAAAGGAAGGGCTGGCCGTTTGAACCCACCCGGAAGGGCCTTGGAAGAAAGGCCTGGAAATCTGCTTCTGAAAGATCACAGCTGTGAAAACCCTATGGAGCATAGTTCTACTCTGCCACACATGGGGACACTGTGAATCAGAATTGACTGGACAGGCAGCAGTTTTTCTTTTTGGTGCTGGGAGGGTTTTCAGCATGATGGTGATACGATCTGATTCCATTAAAATAAGAGATCCTGGCTGCGCTGTGACAGTGGGCTGGCAGGAGCTGAAGGAGGGGGACAGCACCAGGTGGACATGCAGAGATGGCAGTCCTGGGAGCAAAGTGAGAGTGACGTTCTCTCCTCACTGGGAAGGCACTTGACCATGACTTGGCTCTGAGCAAGTGCGGAAAAAAATGGGAGTTGTCCTTCATTCACTTAGTGTATACCGAGTGCCTGCTGTGTGCCAGGCCGTTGTCCTTCATTCACTTAGTGTATACCGAGTGCCTGCTGTG